TGCAGGGCTGAATACGCAAGAGGGAACCAAAACCCTCAAGTAAGTTTCTAACTGATTTAGTTATGGCCAAGGAGCAGAACCTCGTGCTCCTCAGATCAGAACTGAGGTTTGCAGGCGTTTGTGTAGCTCCAGAGCTGCTCACGCTGAACCCAAGGAGTTCAGGCAGCCCATCAGAAGCTCTCCAAAGCAAGTAGGGATTTTTTTGGGGGGGAGAGTGTATGAAGCCATCGCATCCTAAGATGCAGCGTAGAGAGTTGTTCGGTGCTTATTTACCAGTACATTTAAACCAGACTTGCCTGATGGCCAGCAGGAGTTTCTGCTCTGCGGACCGTAGCTTTTGGGTACCCCTGTTTGAGCAAATGTGGACAGGAACAATGTTCCCTCGTACGTACCCTGGGAGCAAAGTCTTTCTAAGAGTGTTTGACCTTGAAACTGGAGTGTGCTGAGCTTTTTGGCTCCTGCTGATGTGCGTTTGCTTTGCACAGGTCTCTGCTCATGTTTACAATGGAAAACTGTTTCTACCTGCTCATCTCCCAGGCTGTTCGGTACTTGAGAGACCCGGCTGTGCACCCCCGTGATAAGCAGCGGATGAAACAGGAGCTCAGCTCCGAGCTGGTGAGCAGCTGGTACCACCCTGCCTCGCTGTTCAGTGTAAATGTGCCTTGGGGGAGAAGGTCGTTGGTCTTCGGCTGCCCAGTAGAGCCCGTTCCCCACCCGACTCCCCAGCCGTGGGCACCTTGGGCTGCACGTACTGGTGCCTGTTCCCCTGCCACCGGCACTTTGTGTGGGGAGGGAGAGGGGGGTGTTGGGAAGAAGCTAATTTGTTCTGTGCCTCTGATTTCAGAGTACGCTGCTCTCCAGCCTGTCTCGTTACTTCCGCCGCGGTGGTCCCTCTTCACCTGCCAGCGGGGTTCTCCCCTCTCCCCAAGGGAAGGCCGCCTCCAAGCTGGGGCCCGAGGGGCAGGAGCCTTTGTTTCAGCTCGTGCAGGCCTTTGTCCGGCACGTGCAGAGATAGACGCTGTCCTGCCCCTGCCTCCCTCTCCAGGACTTGCACCAGAACGATTCATGTCCACCGCAGAAGGCAGCACCTTTGGCAGAGCTGGGAACAAGGACTGGGAAAAGGGAGGGAGGCCCGGCGCGGGCGGCGGTGCAACCCGGGCTGTAACAGCAGCAGCGAGATCCTGTTGGACTCTTGCAACCCAGCAGCAGAGCGAATGTCAGGGAAGGCGAGAGCGGCTGCGGGGCGGTCAGCCCGCGTGCGCAGCCTGCTCGCTCCGTCTGCTCGAGCCTCCTGCCTGGGTACGAGTGCTGAGCAGTCAGAACCTTTATTTTTATAGCTTGTACCTCAGCTGGGGAAGCTGTGGCTGGATGGAGAGAGGAGACAAACTTTCCGCTGGGCACTAACTCGGCTCGTTACACAAGGTGCAATCTGCCTCTCCCTCGCAGCCAGAGTCCAGTTAAGGCACAACCAAGGGATCAGCCAGCAATTCAGAGACCATCTTTCTACTGCTATTTTTGTACTGAATGGTTCAAGGCAAGATGGTGTATGTGTGCTCACGCCTTCCCTTCACCCTGCAGTCTGTGTGTTGTGCGTGTTTCTGAAGAGCAAGGCCTCACTCAAGGTTTTTAAGTCAAAATTCCATTGCTCCAGTCTTGCAGTTTTTTGTAACTGTGGCCTATTTATACTGATATTAAAACCTTTATAGACAGCAGGTGGGTTCGTGGGTTTGTGCTGGACGTCGCAGCCTGCGGCACCAATTCTGCGTCGTCTGTGCAGCAGCGCTGCTGGGCTGAAGTCCCAGCCAGCGGTGATGCAAGTTGTGGCTTGGGAGTGACAATCCAGAAACCCTTGATTCCCTCGGCTTTCCCCCACCCACTCCCTTTCTCTTACTCTCATCTTGGGGAACTCGTAGGAGGTTTTAAACGAGCGTCACTATAAAATACTCCTCAGGAACGATTCCTGGGCACGCGATGGTGTGGACCACGCGCAGGGATGACTCTGTGCCCAGGCCCAAGCTGCTACTCTGCCGGTTGCAGCAGCAGGGGAGGGCATGGGTTCAAGCTGGAAGACAGACACTGTCTGCAGTGAAGCTGCATCGTGCTGTTGTAGCGCTCTCAAGTAGATCAACAAACTCTTTAAGGTTCTAAGGCTCGATGTGTGATGGAGACAGTGAGAGAAAGTCAGTGATTATTGCTTAAAATAAAGTCTGAAATCTAGGCAGGCTTTTCTGAGGTAAGAAACCAAATTTCAGTGTAGCTGTGAGCTAGTAATTCCTTCCTAAAAAGACACTTGATTGCTTTACCAGTCAGAACCTTTTTCATCTCCATGGTTTTAAGAGACTAGAGCGAGACTATTAGATTATCTTGCTTTGAGTTGGGTTTTTTTATCCCTTGCAAGCTTAAGTGACGGTGATACTCCAGCACATGTGTTTGATCTAGCTTTACTTGCCCTGGAGGCTTTGGAGGGATTTGAACTAGCTGGTGGGAGCAAAAGGGTCTTAAAGTAGAAGGGAGAGGGCCTTGATTACCTTCCAAAAACTGAGGTGAGCCGCTCTGACAGGGAGGGAGGTGGTGTGACAGTCCTAACCCTGTTGGAGTTACTGGGGACTGTTAACGCTTGCTGCCACAGGGGAGCTGTGAGCGCGAACATGGAGCTTTGGCGGTGAAGAACTGCAGAGAAGGCGGTAAATTGGTGGCAGGTGACTACGGGGAGTGGAAGGAAAGCCAGAACCAGCACCTCTGAGCAAGTTCAGTAGCGCTTGGGGCTGTTAGTTGATAGCTCTGGCAGTGGCTTTCCTCGTTGCAGCTTCTGAAGGTACGCGCAGTGTGCTGATCGCTTCACGAGCGCTCATCGAGAAGGGATACGGTGAGAATTCAGGGGGAAGCAATACGTTGTTTGAGATGTTTACTCAAGCACTAGAGTGAGCTTAGGGTGCTGGCAGGAGGCCTTGGTGCCAGCCAGCAAAGGGTAGTGGATGCTGTTGGTTACCCCTGTGGTTTATAGAGCTGTACCTTCACGTCAGACAGCAGCACGCCAGCCCTGACTTGTACCTTTACCCCAAAGGGGCACGGAACAGCCGTCAGCCATGGGTGGCTCACCCTGACATCTGCAAATAAGCAGCACGAGAGTGTAATCCTTCTGTAGGGAGGCCGGCAGAAGTAGCGAGAGGTTCTGCACGTGCTCCTTTCTAATGCAGGGGGGACGGAGCGCCGGTGCCAGGAGCAGCCTTCCTTTTGGCTGCTCTGAGGGAAGTGACACCATTTTCTGCATCATCAAGCTGCTGCTGTTTCTGCTGAAGCTGTTCTTCCTCTTTAATGCACCAGGGAGAGGAACAACAGGAACAGGGCTGTCGCTGGCCTGAGGGAAGGGTGTACAGACTGGAAGCGAAAGAGGCAGGGGCAGATCTATAAAAGGGTAGAACTGGGGTAGTGGTCATCATGGCCGTTGTAAAACTAACAGCAACATAATTTTTGATTTCCCCATTCCCTTTCATTTGAGTTTAACTAGAAAAAACACGGAGCGCTGTTGCTACACTACAGATCATTTCAACAGCTGCTTTTCCCAGTGCTTTCCGAGCTGGGTGCTAGGGATGAGGCTTTAGGGGTTTAGATTAGCAGCAGATCTAGTTTCCATAACAACAACAAAAGTCTGTTAGATCTAGAATAGCACTTCTAGTCTCTCAGCAGCTAAAGTCATCCTGCTGCTCTATTTTTGCTTCAGGTTAAGGAGGAGCTGTTGGGTTTTTTTAGAGTTCCTGAATCCATAGTACAACTGAGATGTGTCATCTGGGAAAGGAACTGCAAGACACTAACAACGTTAAGGCATGTTGAGTTTCAGCCGGGACAGGAAAGATCAGCAGCTTTGTTTTGCTTTTACACCCACCTTCCAAGACTGGGATAGCAGAAGGGCACAGCTCCCACCGGAGCTGCCTCCCTGCCAGCCCCGCTTGTCCCTGCAGTCGGGTGGCTGGAGAGCAAGGGCAGCCCCGAACCCCCCCCCACGACACCGAGGCAGGAGGTCAGGCAGTTTGTTTATTGGCAAATAAGTGCTGAAAACCACGAGCCCTACATACACAGGTGCTCAGTGCCCTGTTACATTAGAGTGGTCACAAGATCAGTGGGGAAAGTGCAAAAGATCAATCAACAAGCAAAGTTAGTTCTGACATACCGAGGGGAAGGTTGTGAACAGAGAGCTTGGTGCAGGGGAGTTTCTCTTCCCTCCAGCTCGAGTGGAAAACTAGTGACACAGCAGCAGCAGAGTCCTTTAGGGGAGCTCTAACTGGACAGGTCAGTGCAGGGTTAAAGGCAGACGCACCTGAGCGCTCCCCTTGAGCTAAACCACCACGGACACGGACACCAAGGGCAGCCTGGCCTGTTCAGGGGGTGTATGGCCAAGAATTGTTGGTGATACCGGCAGGGGGGGACTATCCCTTACTGTACTGGGAGGCACCAAGCCTGTTCACTGCTGGGATGGGAGGGGAGCATTCGTTACACCGGTGATCCAGGGTGAAAATAAAGTCAGGCTAAAACATGCCTGGAACAGACGCGCTGAAAGAAAAGCCTGGACAGTTAACACAGGGAGGGAGCAAAGCTTGTAAAAAGGCTTGTAAACTCTTTGCAGTCCAAGAGCAGTTTCTCAGGAAACGCAAGCAAGATGCATGGTCCCTTGCACTGAGGTTTGGTTTTTGACAATACAGGCCCTACGTTCGGTTGGTCTTCACAACTTTCCTTCCAGCTTCAGAGGACAGTTCTAGATGGAAGCCATCAGGCAGCACGGCTCTTGGGGAGCCTCGCGTTCCTGTTCTCCCAGAGGGGAGCGAGGCGGATGGGTTTAACAGGCTCTTAGCTTCCTCGCCTGAAGAGCTAGGACGTGTCAGGGGATTTGTGTGGGACACTCCCCCACTGGAATGCTTGATGGTTTGACTTAGGCAATTCTACGGCTGAAGAGGAGAGGGGACAGGAGGGACAGACAGGCACTAACCCACACCAGACACAAGGGAAGGGAGACAGCTTGCTGGCCCTGGGAAAGCCACTGTGAGAAACAAGATGAGGGGAGGGTAGAAAAAAAAAGTCATCAAGGAATCTTGCACCATCAAGACTAACCTCAAAGCAGGCTGCACTGGTAGTTAACGAATTCAGTCTCGGGTGCCATCAGCCCTTTCCCAAAACCTTACTGTAACAGCTTTACCACTTCTTTCCCACAATTCCCATATTAGCAATGGAGTGTCAACCCCGAAGAGAGCAATGGTCTCAGATGAAGAAATCCGCATTAGAAGTGCCAGGAGATGAGGGGCGCATTCTGCTTGTACATTCTTCTTCCTGGAGACATTTAACTTAACAGTTCCAAGTAAGTGACAGGAACTTTCCCTTTCTGGTTCCCTCTTTCCCCTATGAGCCAGTCTGGATCCATGCCCGGCAGGCTGTACACAGTGATCATCTGGGGAGGGAAGACAGCATTAGACAGGACCTTACTCTGCAGACAGAGCCAAGAAGTTCGCTCAGATGGGTCCTGAAAGAACAACAAATCCCGAAGTTTGTTTAGCAGGCATCTGTGCCCTTTCCCTGGAGCTCTCTGCAGCTTCAATAGAAGAGCTACAGTGATGTCCCTGTTGCCTTTTCATTCTGCACATTGACTTAAGGGACTGTTGCATACAGGGTGGCGCGATGTTGCTGTGTCATCCCTTCTGAATACAAGAGTTCAGGCTAGGCAACAAGAGAGTTTGCAGCTTGCTGAATTTCCTTTTTTCTCAGCATGATTAGACCAAGCCTCCAGCCAGTGGCTTACCCCACTGCTCTCAGGTAAGGTGGCTATTAGTTGAGGGTCACAGTGAAGATGCTAAGTACTGGGGTGGTTTGTTAGCTGGGTACAGCAGGACTCCAACAGGAACAGGAGTTGTGATGTCCTCAAATAGCAAATGGCCATGAGCACAAGCTACCAGTGTCTAGGAAATATCAGCAATTCCACAAAACAGGGTTTTTAGGGGCAGGAAAAGTAGCCAAGACCTTGCTGAGCATGCAACAGGCTGCTAGGCACAGCGAAATTTCAACACAAAGGAAAGCCACCAACCTCATCTGCAAGAAGGGCCAGCTCAGTGCTGTCAGCTGCTTCGTAATCGTAGAGGACTCTGGCCTTCCGCGTCCCACTAGCAGGAGGCTTCACTTCATTTGGGTTCAGTACGCTCTCCGCCACGGTGTTAGGCACCCCACCAATCGTGGGCACCACTGGAATAGTAGGCACAGCAGGGAGGGTGGCAGCAGCAACAGCTGGAGGAGAGGTAGCAGCTGCGGGAGGAGATGTGGATTCTGCATTGCCCACGAATGTGCCTGAAAATCTTACATGGGAGGAAAAAAAATAAAAGGCAGAATTCAGTCAGGCCCTAGTATGAGGAACCGAGGAGGAGCTCACTCTTTTCAGTAGTTAACAGCGCAGAGATGATGCTCAACAGTTCCAGCTTAACATATCTACGCTGGCCTTTGAGTGGGGGAAAGGCGCTCGGTTCTCAGGTGCTGAGACGGTGCAACAGGTCACATCTGCTTATTTTGGTGCCAGTGTCCCGTTACAGGACTGGCACCTGACTTGCAGAGTCTGAGAGTGAAGCACAGCACTAGAGCGGGGTCGGGGCAGGTGCTGTTCTTGGCTCTGCAGCTCTTTTACTGGGTCCACTGTGCCGTGTCCTTGCCCTGCGCTCACGTGCCCTGCCTGTGTAGCCTGCTGGCTCTTCAGGAAAGGGACAGTCACTGTTGCTGTTACCCTGGGTGCCACAGCTGGAGGCTCCCAGGCTTTCTGGGCTCTCTAGAGAGAGACAGCAATGGAGCTCAGTCTCAGTTATCAGCAGATAACCCCTCTGCACCAAGGGGGTGCAGCTCTGGCCCTTGCTGGCCTTTGTAGCGAGTCTGCAGAGACTCCAGAGCTTGGCGGAGGTGGAGAGCTCTTAGAGGCAGTCCTGTGCAACGTCTTACTTACATTTCTCCTTTGGAGCTGCAAGCATGGAAAGGAATGGAACAGTAGTGAGTGATCACGTGGAGGCCACGGCCCCTCCTGGGTCAGGCCACCGCGCTGAACCGACAAAACAGCTCTGCCCCTGCCCGCGGGATGCGCACCAGCAGCACAGCATTACTCACTGCTGCAGCTGAGCAAGCTCAGCCCTGCTGCTTGGCAACAGGAATGTGTCTCCCATGTGATTTAACTGATTTAGAGGAAGAATTTTCGAACTCTCGTGGCCATCATGCTTTGAGATGAAGGTATAAACCCCAAATCCTGCTCTAAATGTGCTACCACCAGGATTGGTCACCGTTCCGTAAGCTCAGCGGCTCTGCCAGAGCCTGGAGGAGGCTTTAAAACTTCTACCCACCGCTATGACGTGGGGTGGAGAAGGAGGCCTGAGCTAAGGGTAACAAGAGGAGTAACCCTCAGAGAAGTAAAAGCAGTCTCTCGTCTCACCTGCCCAGTTGCTTCTGCAGGTCCAGCATGTATTGGTAACACTGAGCATAGTAGTTGGTCTGGGACTCCACAAACTCGTGGAGGCAGCGAAGGTGATTCACCTGCAGGGAGAAGGACCATAAGCTGGTCTGTGAGTTCGGTTGCCAGGCACAGGAACTCTCTTCCTGCAGCCTCTACCTGCCCCCAAAGGAGGCAGATTTATGCAGGCCAGTATTTAAGAGTTACTTGGTTTGCTTGAACACACTAATTTGTTAACTTTGGGAATGCTGCAGAGGCCCAAGGGTGATCTCAGAGAGGAGGCTGCTCCTGGCACTCCAGCTATGCCCATGTGGGCAGCCCACAGCTCTAGTGAGAGAACAACGAGGTTTTTCTGGCTTGGAAGCACTTTGAGGACTGCAGAACTGCAGGTGCCACAGTGGCACTGCCTGTGCATGCTTCATTATGGTTTTAGCTGAGCATTCCAGGTCTTAGGAGGTTGCTGTAGCATCCAAATTTATGACCTCTTCTACCTCTCCTCCTAGTGCAGGGCTCCACCATCCTCATGGCATTCTTCTAGAAAGGAGCCAGGAGTCTCTGGGGTCCCTGTCACCCCCCCAGTTACCTGGGAAGACTCACATGTGTGCTGCTGATCCCCTCCAGCAGGAGACGTGTCACCTCTGCCTGTCGATCAAACTCGGTCTGCGTGAGCCGTAGCTCGTGTTCTGCCTGCAAAACAGGACAGGGTGTTCGAGACTGCACAAGGCAGGGACCCCTGTTCTGCCTCTTCCAGGGAGAGGCAACCCCCACCAACACCCCCCCTTTGGCACTGAGACGAGCGTGCTGCTGGCTCAGTAGGATCCACGTGCACCGGTGACACTGAGCACCAGGCACAAGACACCCTGGGTGAGGATCCCAGAGGCCTCTGGCTGTATTTCACCTCGATTCCTGCTTGATCCTACGTCGGATCATTGCAGGTCACGGAATGGCAGCTCAGGACCGATGCATCAAGCTCAGGAAGCTCCAGCTCCAAGACTGGGGCGTGAAGATGGAAAGGCTTTGTTAATCCTGAGGTATGTGGAAAGCCAGTCCCATGCCAGCACCTGTCCTTTTAACCCCCGCTTTCTAAGCCTACAGGCACAGCAATGGGACAACCTCCTGGTTTCTCTCCAGAAGTGCAACTTTTGCTGGTGTCTTTTTATCATCGCAGAGCAAAGGCTGAGGCCAGGCAGCGTTTACCAAATTGCTGTCACTAACTGAATGTCTCCGCAACAGAGATGAAAATTCCAACCCAGCTTCTACCCAAGGCTCTCCTTTGAAGCCAGTTACTTATTTTGAGCTAGGAGGAATTAAACAACGGTTCACAGAAGGCAGCTATGCAGCAGCCATCGGGAATTCAAAGACAGACTCATACTGGAGACCCTCTTTACCAAACAAACCGAACTGCTCTCCCCCACCAGCAAAGAGCATATTTACACGAGGGCAGTTTTGCAGTACCAGAACACCCAGGTGCCTCCTTGCAAAGAGGAGAGCTCTGGAAGTGCTGGAGCACTCGGGTGCTCTGATGCCTGCTCTCCCCTCCCGCTGACAGAAGGAGAGCGGTGACAAACAGGCACTTCTGTTCTCTCTAGCAGGCACCAAGCAGAACGTGCCAGTTCCCTCTAAGGATGCGCCGTGACCGATAGCACAGTGATGTCCACTCAGCTACAGCTTGCTGGAAGGAGAGGAGTACGGGTGCCATGTCCCTTTCCCCATCTCCAGGAGGGTGCAGCAATCGGGCTGCCTGCCCTGGTGCAGCACGGCACCGCTTCTGGGAGAGGGCTCCTTCCGCTGCTTTGGAAACGCCTCCAGCGTTCTGGCAACAGGAGCGACTTGTCTGGAGTTGACCCCAGGGGGCTAAGCTCAGTCTCAGAGCAGAGGCCACATCGCTCCGGTTTCTGCTCCTCAGGGTGACCCCAGAGGAGATCCAGCCTTTGCAGCAGGGTGAGCTGGAGAGGCTGCTGCGGGCCGTGACATCTCTCATCTGGTAACGGCGTTACCAGCACTGTTGTACAGCTAGGCTAGAACAAAGAAATGCTTTGACTGTCTTTTAATCAGATTTGTCTATTTTAAGCTACAACTGATCTATTTTCTTGCATCCTCTGTATGAAACGGATTATTTAAAGGAGAAGAGGGAATGTAACAGGAAATACCAGTCCAATGCCTTACGAAGCACCACGAGAGTCTTGCTCTAGCGAGCCAAGCAGACTTCAGTAGCAGCAGAATCGTTTGAAACTTGTGGCAGGCAGACCCAGCCCCACTTGGCACTGCCTGGGATTTGACCCCTTGCCTCTCCCTGCCAGCTCTGACCACCTGCAGGATGTAGTTATATGGCCTGTAAAGCCACCACCAGACGGCGACCCAAGAGGTCCCTTCCAGTCTTGTGCTTCTCCAAGACACTGAGAACTTTGAAGCTTACTGACCTACTTTGGCCTATCTAACCAGGACAGACCAAAGGCAGAGGAACAGAGCCTTGCATGCTTACAGCTTATTTCTTTGAGGGACTGAAGGACTTAAAGTACAGGATGAGCTGGTTCAAACAGAGCCAGTCTGCTCCGAGGATGCATTTAGAGTAAAGCAGTAACAGGCTGCTATCATGCACAGCATGCAGGAACGTGCCATTCTGCCACCTTGCAGTTCAGGCTTCAGGCTAATGTCTGCTGGGGGTGTTTGAGGTATGAAAGGCAATGGGATTCCCAGAAGGTGTCCCTGGAAGCTCTATACCATGCTGGAGCTCCACACAGCGCTCACCCTGGTCTCTAGTCCACTAGCAGCCCTCCATCCTTCTTCAAGGACAAGTCACGCTCCCCTTGCAGAGCCCAGAAAATGAACAAGATCTGGGACTTTGCTTCCATGGATCCACTCCGAAGGGTAAGTGCAGTTCACCCAGACAGAATGATCTCCACAATAGGCTCCAGACCTCCCACCCTGCCCTCCTGACAGAGCCGTTCCCTCCAGCAGCTGGGGCTGTTCCTTGGGAAACCCTCTGTCCTTGCTTCAGCTCTGCTTAGAGCTCCTGCTTGGACCCTAGAACAAGCAGGCAAGGGGCTACTAGAGGCTAGTGCATGGCACATGCAAAACTGGAGCAGGCAGGGCCTTTGCCACAGGAGCAGAGCTGAATCACAGCACATCACCTCTGCTCCTGCGACAGCGGGGCAGGGTTCTCAGAGTTGCCTTGTATCACATCCCAAAGCAGGCCTGGCTTGCCTAGGAAACCTCTCACACGAGGTACAGGCAACTGGCCCACGGGGCAAGCTCTTCCCAAGCCACTGTCGGTCACACTGAACCATACGGCTGCAGGATCAGGACTGGGACCAACAGCAACATCCCACCGATCCTCCCCTGCGTGTGTACAGGCACACGAGCAAGAAGGAGGCCACAGCACCCACCCCCCGACCCCCTGAACACCACCAGCACACCCAGAAGGTTTGAGAACAGTTTCGTCTGGGTACTTACTTTTTCCACCTCGTCGCTCCAAAGCTGTAGGGGCCACAGAGCAACAGGAAAGGAGATCAGTGTTGGAGACGTCGAGAAGCACTCGGCATTAACACCAATTGGCAAGGACGCTCCGTGGACGCAGCAGGCCAACTCCGGGGACAAGCCAGCCCTTCACCAAGCAGAAGCTGGCAGATCGGT